CCCTTTTGGATGTCTATCAGGAAGTATTATACTGTCATATAGGAAATGATTTTCAAAATGGGATCAACATTTTTACTGTTCTCTTTCATTTCTTTCCTTTTGTTTCTTTAACGTAAAGCTGGTCAACAATGTCCATGAATGGATCTGCATCTCTCAAATGACTGTTAATCTCTCTAGGTTTGCTCTGAACGTCCTTGTCTAGAGGATATGAAGTTACATTGTCAAATTTAAAGCACAGAGAAGATAATTGCTTTGGTTCCCGATGCAAGACCGAGCCCAGATGTTATCTCAATGGGAGTCTGAGATAGCCTCGCGTATATAACAGCGTGGCTCAACGGTGATCTGATACCCTTGGTTCTGTGAATAAATCACAGAAACTGCATTTGGGGCTATCGATACTTCTGACAAATGACCGTGTGGGCCAGTTTCCAAACTGAAATAGAAATGGTTTGTTCAATCTGTAATCACAATTTACATAATTTTGGCATCTTGGATAAAGAACACCATATCTACCAGTCTTTGAGGGCAAGACATTTTACTTGGAACATCCTCCGCAGTTCCTCATTAAGTCCTGCCTCATTGCCTTTGGGTCTTAGGGGTTCATTTTCTACTGAGGTTTTGACAAACTCCCAAAAGTTCACAGATGGGCTACAAACCTGAAGTTTCTGAGCAAATACTGGGGGGTTCTTTTCTGCTAAGTCGGGCTCCAGATAGTCAAGCGCGCCACAGAGAGAGGCAGGGTGGGCTAGCCTGCTGAGCAGGGCATCGGCAGAGGCCAGGGAGCCCTCGGGAGCTGTCTGGACGCCGGCAGGGAGGAGGTCACAGAGAGAAAGAGAGGAGAGCACAGTGACACTGATGCCAAGTGAGGACCATGCATCCACCTGCTGGTCATTTCCTCCTTAAGGCTAAAGAGAGTATCCATCAATTCGCTGCCAATACTTGCGTTTCCATCTGGACTTATTCCCACATGTGGACAATGAACATCTTGTGAGTGGCTGACCCAACCCCCCCCAAAAGCACAGCCTTAGACGCCCTCCCCGCCCCCACACCACACCCGCTCCCTAGCCAAGGGTGGGAGCTCAGTTACCACTTGCTTATTTATTTGGAAATCTCAGTGGGTGGGAGGCAAGCTAGTTGATAGGTTTTCCAAACACAACATAACTCGTCAAGAAAATATCTCAGAGTATAAATATCAAAGGAAGTAAGGTTTTGAGAAAGGTCATCTTCTAAATAATAGAAAGATGATTTCAAACGAAAAAGTGTCTCCTTGGTAGATCAGAAAGACTTCACAATTAGAAGCTAAGTTCTGTAGAAAGTGAACCATGTGTAAGTCTTTTAGTATCTGAGAGATTGATTCATATCTAGATCCTCTTTTTGTTCACTATTATTCCAGTATCCAGCATGTATCCAACTGCCAGACACACAGTAGGTGCTCAGTAACTCTCTGATGCATGAGATAAATGAATGGTCTACCAATCCAGAACAACAAAATTAACACACTAAATCAATAGCTTCAGACTGCTTGGAGATTGCTGAGGGAGGTAAGGGAAATAAAAATAAAATCCACCTAGAAGGATGGTTCATTTCAGATGTGGGGAAGACCCTGCATGGGCATCACATACTCAAGGGGGACCCTAGGCCCACAGATGGACACATGTAACACATGGGGGGCGGGTAAGGAGGCTTCGACTCAGGTCTGTCTGCTCTGCAAGGCCCCAGTGGGGGCTGGGAGGGGAGAGGGAAAGTCCTGGTCTATAAACTGGAGAAACTTCCCATCACTAAGACCAAGTGGAGATCTGAATGGAGGTGTCCCCTGCCACATCATTCTCTGCCCTCTGCCCTGGAGCATGGAGAGGCAGAGTGCTGACTGGGGACTGCTCCAAAGCAACAGTTCAGTCCTAAGGGCTAAAAATGTTAAAATAAATGCCCCTGAAGGCAAATAAAGTACTTAGGTGAGAACTGCAAAGCCACGTTGATAAGAACGGAGAGCCCTTCCCTCATTGTCATGGT